GCCAGTCTAACTTTTTGTATTTTGCGTGACCAGCCACTCATTGGAGTAAAATGCATAAGTTACCACTGTATATGTGTACATCTGAGGGGAAATCAATGAAGAAGCACCACTGGAGATGAAAAATATCTGCCTTTTGGTATTTCAGTAAACAGTTGTCAAGTCTGAAATGCCCAAATGTTAACAGAACACTAGCCAAAACACTTCTAGCTTAAATGAAGCATCTCCCCAAATCTTTTACTCCTTCCCTATCCTGAAGGGAGAAGGATTTCTGCAGCAAAAGTTCTTTCTATCTCAGAAACTACTGGGATTTAAATTTCAAATTCTGGAGCTTCCTTTTAGCTCCCAGGTCTTGTTACAGCTCTTCACTGGAGAAATTTACACCCATCACACCTATCTTCATGTACAGAACCACTCTGCTTGGTTCAAGTCTGCTACAGACACACCTGAGTTTAATCTTACAGATCTGGCAAAAGGTTCCTTGATTAAAAGGAAATCATGCCCCCAGCACTATGAAGGCATCACAAGATTTCTTGAAGTCCACAGGACAAATCTGCTGAAATCATGAGTTACAGACACTCCATCCAAACCAGGCTGGGACAGTGAAACCATACTCCAGCCACTTACTCACTTTTCAGCAATGTCTGACAGGGGCATGAAGAGCATTCTGCACAGCAGTCTCCCCTAGCCTCTTCCCAACAGGGTCCCAACAGCCCTCCCAACCCCTGCCACCACCCAAAACCAAGCCCATTTTCTTTCTTCCCTCCCAAGTGGCCACTTCATAGCTACATTAGAAAGTGACCTATTTAAAGCCTATTTAAAGCTTGTGGCCTGCTGGGAGGAAAAGATATTTACTGCCTCCTGTACTGCTTGCCTCCACACACTTCTGTTACAAGTCCATTCTTCTCATGGTGTTAACAGCAGTTGTCTTTTTGCTCCTATAGCAAAGGAAGATGTTAAGTCAGAGAAGCAACCCTTTCCAAAGTATCTATTTTTCAGTTAGTTTCCAAGCTTGTTTCAGGCAGATTCATAGTATTAGAAAACATAATTCTTACAAGGCGGATAAAACTCTTCCAATCAATTTCTCTTTATCTTCCTGTAATTTTTTTCTTAAGTTGGCACAGGAAGCATCTCCATCCCAGGCTGAATATCCCAGGGGTTAATTAATTAGTGAGTCATCCCGGAGAAAGTGGAACTTTCCATTATGCTGGAAGTGTTTTCAACTCTTAACTGGTACCATTGGTGATATGCTATCAGCGAGGAAGATAACAGCTACCGGGTACAATGAAGATCCAAGGGGCAAATAGCAGGCATTGTGGAGATGCACAGCATTATAATCAATGAGAACACAGATAGCTAACAATAGACAATTCTGAAGAGATACTGTATGTACAAATGTTTAAGGATTAAACTGGCTTTTGCTGAAAGATGGTGATAAGGCTTAGCAATACAAACGATACAGAGTCCTAGCAAAAGGTCATCCCTTTCTGCATTTTGTTTTAAATGCAGTGTAACGACTTTACAGTTGCTGTAGTGCAAGGAATTCAATCCTGCACTAAAACAGTGCAGAAAAAAGGCAAGATAAGCATCTGGTCCACAAGTTTATTAGATATAAGATATCTGTATTCTATTTTTACCTCTCTATAAAATAACTCTAAAGAAAGGTTATAAAGACATAATAAAAAAAAATAGAATTAAGTTCTGCTATTTGGACCACTTCTTGGGAAAACAATTCTGTTTTAAGGCAAAAACCTAAAGTTTACACAGTAGCTCTCTGAATACAAATAAACAAAAAGCCTCAATTTGAGATTATTCCAGACACTAACCTATTAAAATAAGGCTGTCTCTTTCACCTACTGCTATCAATGTTAGCTTTCCTGACTGTAGTGAGAATTAAACCAAGTCCATAATCTTCAGAGTTATCTTGTGAGCTCAGCAAGGTATTATCCTAAAAGGGAAAGAAGGGAAACCAAGGAAAATTGGCAGCCTTCCCAACAATGCCACCACCCAAAACCAAGCCCATTTTCTTTCTTCCCTCCCAAGCAGCCTACCTGGTAGCCTTGTTAGAATAGCTCCCCATTTAACATCCAAGTGATTTGTTCAACAGAATCAGCCCTGGACAATAAATTTCTTGGCTTCTATTCCTGTGTTCACCATGTACCTTTTTCAAAAATGGTAAATAATTAAGAATTGGTCTTCTTCCAATCCCAGTGAAATAGAAACCCCAAAGAAGAGTATCTGTTTTAATGTTTTTTTTGTTGTCTTTTCTCCAGATGTGATTAACAACCAAAGCCCTTGGAGAAAAGTACCTTAGTTTGAGATGAATTGTTTGGAGCCATAGAAAAGATGTCTTGCCAGCAGTTGTCTGCAACTACTCTGCAACTGCTGGCAGACCACTGCAAAGATTCTTTCTCAAGCTAGCTGTGAATCAGAAGCAGAGAATATTTACCCACCAATACAGGCAGCTTAAACATCCTACGAGGCATTCACTCTTCTCTGAAGACTGCCACTACTATACTAGCACTGATGATTTACACAGGAAGCAGCTCCTGAGCTGTTAGAGTTGCCAACCCAGTACATTAAAACAACTTAAAGTCACCATTGGTTTACTTGAATAAATCAGGCTACAAACTGCAGCTGTTAAAGAATTGCTTCATGGGTCAGCCATCCCTGCCACAGAGAAAGCAACTTGTGGAAAGAGG